CAACGAGGTGAATTTAGATATATCTATTTATATTGTATAGCCATAGTGGACCCCATACCCATGCTGTGAGTGGTAGTGGACCCCATACCCATGCTGTGAGTGGTAGTGGACCCCATACCCATGCTGTGAGTGGTAGTGGACCCCATACCCATACCAATGCTGTGAGTGGTAGTGGACCCCATACCAATGCTGTGAGTGGTAGTGGACCATACCCCCATGGACCCCATACCCACTGTGAGTGGTAGTGGACCCCATACCCATCTACTGTGAGTGGTAGTGAACCCCATACCCATCCTGTGAGTGGTAGTGGACCCCATACCCATACTGTGAGTGGTAGTGGACCCCATACCCATACTGTAAGTGGTAGTGGACCCCATACCCATGCTGTGAGCGGTAGTGGACCCCATACCCAAACCGTGAGTGGTAGTGGACCCCATACCCATGCTGTGAGTGGTAGTGGACCCCATACCAATGCTGTGAGTGGTAGTGGACCCCATACCCATCCTGTGAGTGGTAGTGGACCCCATACCCATCCTGTGAGTGGTAGTGGACCCCATACCCATGCTGTGAGTGGTAGTGGACCCCATACCCATGCTGTGAGTGGTAGTGGACCCCATACCCATCCTGTGAGTGGTAGTGGACCCCATACCCATCCTGTGAGTGGTAGTGGACCCCATACCCATGCTATGAGTGGTAGTTGACCCCATACCCCTACTGTGAGTGGTAGTGGACCCCATACCCATACTGTGAGTGGTAGTGAACCCCATACCCATCCTGTGAGTGGTAGTGGACCCCATACCCATGCTGTGAGTGGTAGTGGACCCCATACCCATACTGTGAGTGGTAGTGGACCCCATACCCATACTGTGAGTGGTAGTGGACCCCATACCCATACTGTGAGTGGTAGTGGACCCCATACCCATACTGTGAGTGGTAGTGGACCCCATACCCATACTGCGAGTGGTAGTGGACCTCATACCCATCCTGTGAGTGGTAGTGGACCCCATACCCATCCTGTGAGTGGTAGTGGACCCCATACCCATACTGTGAGTGGTAGTGGACCCCATACCCATACTGTGAGTGGTAGTGGACCCCATACCCATACTGTGAGTGGTAGTGAACCCCATACCCATACTGTGAGTGGTAGTGGACCCCATACCCATCCTGTGAGTGGTAGTGGACCCCATACCCATACTGTGAGTGGTAGTGGACCCCATACCCATACTGTGAGTGGTAGTGGACCCCATACCCATACTGTGAGTGGTAGTGAACCCCATACCCATGCTGTGAGTGGTAGTAGACCCCATACCCATACTGTGAGCGGTAGTGGACCCCATACCCATACTGTGAGTGGTAGTGGACCCCATACTCATACTGTGAGTGGTAGTGGACCCCATACCCATGCTGTGAGTGGTAGTGGACCCCATACTCATACTGTGAGTGGTAGTGGACCCCATACCCATTCTGTGAGTGGTAGTGGACCCCATACCCATACTGTGAGTGGTAGTGGACCCCATACTCATACTGTGAGTGGTAGTGGACCCCATACCCATTCTGTGAGTGGTAGTGGACCCCATACCCATACTGTGAGTGGTAGTGGACCCCATACTCATACTGTGAGTGGTAGTGGACCCCATACCCGTGCTGTGAGTGGTAGTGGACCCCATACCCATGCTGTGAGTGGTAGTGGACCCCATACTCATACTGTGAGTGGTAGTGGACCCCATACCCGTGCTGTGAGTGGTAGTGGACCCCATACCCGTTCTGTGAGTGGTAGTGGACCCCATACCCATACTGTGAGTGGTAGTGGACCCCATACCCATACTGTGAGTGGTAGTGGACCCCATACCCATACTGTGAGTGGTAGTGGACCCCATACCCATTCTGTGAGTGGTAGTGGACCCCCATACTGTGAGTGGTAGTGGACCCCATACCCATGCTGTGAGCGGTAGTGGACCCCATACCCAAACTGTGAGTGGTAGTGGACCCCATACCTATGCTGTGAGTGGTAGTGGACCCCATACCCAAACTGTGAGTGGTAGTGGACCCCATACCCAAACTGTGAGTGGTAGTGGACCCCATACCTATGCTGTGAGTGGTAGTGGACCCCATACCCAAACTGTGAGTGGTAGTGGACCCCATACCCAAACTGTGAGCGGTAGTGGACCCCATACCCAAACTGTGAGTGGTAGTGGACCCCATACCCAAACTGTGAGCGGTAGTGGACCCCATACCCAAACTGTGAGTGGTAGTGGACCCCATACCTATGCTGTGAGTGGTAATAGCAAGGTTACAGAGACACGTAATGGGTTCAGGAACTGAACCCATTTATTTGTGTAGCTAAATAAGTTACAGGATTGCAGAAGACTATTTTAATATCATTCAAGTGTTGTAAACTACACCATTTTGCCGCAGTCTGAGTCACTCAATTAATCCAACTTCAAATCGTTGATTAAATAGCCAGCCTTAACCTAAGTTGTCTGGAGAGAAAAAATATTCAGATGAATTTAAAGTCCTTACCGTTTGTAGGGCTTTAACCCCCTGGGCGTGGTTAACGCGGCCAGTCTGGCTTTATCCTGGGCCAGGGAGCCTGGTGTCCACTCTACTCCTTCAAGTACACTGTTCAAGGGTACCAGCAGGTGTTGGAAGGTCCCACTCGCGGTATTTCTCATGCATATGTATTTTTTCCTTTCTCTAACAGAGGTTTGCACACGACAACCATCTCTATATCTGATCTTTTTGGTCTGTCCACTTGCTGGCGCACCTGCCTTATGTCAGGCGAAACACAGGGTTCTCGTGTCCTATTTCCACACCACGACGACTTGTGTCGTCAGCTGAGGGTAGAACAAGCCCCGTGGGCGTGCAAGCGAAGGGCGTGGAGGGAAATACACCGTGTATGAGGAGAGTGTGTGTGTGTGGTGAGAGGAGGGGCCAGCAGACGCGCACCCACCGCCTTGACCGCTGCCAGTAAACTGAGCTCCCTCCAAGGTAGGATTCTGACGCTCTCATCTGAGACCCGCTCGTGTTGACCCAAGCTTCGCTCCGGCTGTTTTTGTTGGCGGGTGTATCCGGCGATTCGTAGTTTTGGCTTGTTTGGGAGCCCCGTGTGTTTGGTGAGGCCAGGGCGAGTAGAGGAGCGTCATGTGGAGCGTTGGGTGGTGGTGTTGGTGGACATGTTTGCCTGCGACAACCACGCCAGAGTTGCCGGCGCGGGGATTTACCCTCGCCTCCAGGCGCCCTTCTCTCATCTCCTGGTTATCCTTCGGGTCATTTTTTGTGCGTGGTTCTAGTAATTACACTTCCCCTTTTTACGACCTCTCGTGTTATAATTAACACGGAGCTATTATTCCGGCCAAATAATTGCAACTTCTTGGTTGTTACTTAAAAACTAACGGTGATAGAGTTATCACAATGGAAGTACGAGGCTGGTAACGGTGGACACAGCTGGCACACAGAAAAACTCTTTCGTCAGGGCTCCGTCATGACCCTCCCCAGGTGTTTACATCAGGCTCGCCACTTATTGTTCCTTGACATGAGCGGTAGTCATGTGTGTGAGTTAGTGGTCCTGGTGGCAGGTGTGTAGGCGACCAGTACATCGTACCAGGTGTGTTACACTCTCCGGGGAGATCACTTATGCACAGAGGCCGACGCCTGCGTCTTGGGGGCAGCGTCCCTTTAGACGTCCCGTGGAAGACACCCAGGAGCTTCCTGGACGTCTGTGAGTGATCGGTGATGAGTCCTGCGAGTACCTCCCCGGGTGACCTGGGTGACTTGGGGCGACCTGGAGCGACCTGGGGTGACCTGGGGTGACTTGGGGCGACCTGGGGCGACCTGGGGTGACCTGGGGTGACTTGGGGCGACCTGGGGCGACCTGGGGTGACCTGGGGTGACTTGGGGCGACCTGGGGCGACCTGGGGTGACCTGGGGTGACTTGGGGCGACCTGGGGTGGCCTGGGGTGACCTGGGGTGACTTGGGGCGACCTGGGGTGACCTGGGGTGACTTGGGGCGACCTGGGGCGACCTGGGGTGACCTGGGGTGACTTGGGGCGACCTGGGGTGACCTGGGGTGACTTGGGGCGACCTGGGGTGGCCTGGGGTGACTTGGGGCGACCTGGGGCGACCTGGGGTGACTTGGGGCGACCTGGGGTGACCTGGGGTGACTTGGGGCGACCTGGGGCGACCTGGGGTGACCTGGGGTGACTTGGGGCGACCTGGGGGGACCTGGGGTGACCTGGGGCGACTTGGGGCGATTTGGGGCGACCTGGGGTGACCTGGGGTGACTTGGGGCGACCTGGGGTGGCCTGGGGTGACCTGGGGCGGCCTGTAAGCGGGGAGTGACAGTATTATGGGGCAAGTCGTCCCCACGGGGTTACGTCGTCTTGTATGGTGATGTGGAAGGTCGTTGTCGTGCTGGACGTGATGTGGAAGGTCGTTGTCGTGTTGGACGTGATTGTGAAGGTCTTTGTCGTGTTGGACGTGATGTGGAAGGTCGTTGTCGTGTTGGACGTGACTGTGGAAGGTCGTTGTCGTGTTGGACGTGACTGTGGAAGGTCGTTGTCGTGTTGGACGTGACTGTCTAAGGTCGTTGTCGTGTTGGACGTGACTGTGGAAGGTCGTTGTCATGCTGGACGTGATGTGGAAGGTCATTGTCGTGCTGGACGTGATGTGGAAGGTCATTGTCATGCTGGACGTGATGTGGAAGGTCGTCGCGATCCTGGACGTGTCGGGGGGTGGTTAAGAGTGGCCAGGTACAGCCAGAGGGATCAGGGTCAGGAACCGTCCAGCAGAGTCGCAACCATCGACGAAACCTGTACATCTTCCCTTGATCACGGCGGCTTTGTTGACATTCACTCAACGGGTTGTGAGCCCCGAAGCGCTCCGAGGTTGTTTATAACAACCTCGTAGACCTACAACAACCAACAATATCCTTGGGTTGTGCATTTTGGAAGGTCGTAAACATGGTGAGTGAATGTCAACACAGCCGCCACGGCTGAGGAACGATGCACAGGTTTGGTTGGTATAGTTGGGTGTAGTGAGCCAGAGGTGGCTGCAGGTGTTGTCCTCGCCTGGACGGTCTCAGCAGGCCACACATCTGGCCCTGGGCGCCATGTATTTATGAGACTCAACCATGATGTATCACCTGGTTGATACCTGGTTGATGGGGTTCTGGGAGTTCTTCTACTCCCCAAGCCCGGCCCGAGGCCAGGCTCGACTTGTGAGAGTTTGGTCCACCAGGCTGTTGCTTGGAGCGGCCCGCAGGCCCACATACCCACCACAGCCCGGTTGGTCCGGCACTCCTTGGAGGAATAAATCACCGTTGAAGTCTCGTATGTTAGAGCTGCGTTATTGTGGCTAGCCATAGCTATTACGGCTAGCTCGGTCATTATCATTAACCTCCCTCAGTTAATGATCTTTTCCGGATCACTATATGTGTGTGATGAGTTAATGATTCGCTGAAGTACCACGCTGCTGCATCCTTCACAGCCTGGTTGATCACTTTGTGTAACACAGACTGAACTATAGTTACTTCTTGAACAGCTTCGGTTCCGACCCATCAGTGCTTCGTGTGTGTCTTGTTAACATGCTGAATATTATTGTTCAGTTTTATAACAACATTTGCTCGTCCATTGGCCTATGGTTATCGTGGCCTTCCTAGGTGGGGGGAGTGCATAGTTTGTGATACATGTGGAGCACTACTGTGCAGTACTGTGCGGTACTGTGCAGTACTGTGCGGTACTGTGCAGTACTGTGCAGTACGGTGCGGTACTGTGCAGTACGGTGCAGTACTGTGCGGTACGGTGCGGTACTGTGCAGTACGGTGCAGTACTGTGCAGTACTGTGCAGTACGGTGCACTACTGTGCAGTACTGTGCGGTACTGTGCAGTACTGTGCGGTACTGTGCAGTACGGTGCACTACTGTGCAGTACTGTGCAGTACGGTGCGGTACTGTGCGGTACTGTGCAGTACTGTGCGGTACTGTGCAGTACGGTGCACTACTGTGCAGTACTGTGCGGTACTGTGCAGTACGGTGCAGTACTGTGCAGTACTGTGCAGTACTGTGCGGTACTGTGCAGTACGGTGCAGTACTGTGCGGTACTGTGCAGTACGGTGCAGTACTGTGCAGTACTGTGCGGTACTGTGCAGTACGGTGCAGTACTGTGCAGTACTGTGCGGTACTGTGCAGTACGGTGCGGTACTGTGCAGTACTGTGCGGTACTGTGCAGTACTGTGCAGTACTGTGCAGTACTGTGCAGTACGGTGCGGTACTGTGCAGTACTGTGCGGTACTGTGCAGTACTGTGCAGTACTGTGCAGTACGGTGCGGTACTGTGCAGTACGGTGCAGTACTGTGCAGTACTGTGCAGTACGGTGCGGTACTGTGCAGTACGGTGCAGTACTGTGCGGTACTGTGCAGTACGGTGCGGTACTGTGCGGTACTGTGCAGTACTGTGCAGTACTGTGCAGTACGGTGCGGTACTGTGCGGTACTGTGCAGTACGGTGCAGTACTGTGCAGTACGGTGCGGTACTGTGCGGTACTGTGCAGTACGGTGCAGTACTGTGCAGTACGGTGCGGTACTGTGCGGTACTGTGCAGTACGGTGCAGTACTGTGCAGTAGGCTATGCTCCTCAGAGTGATTCTTTGTTCGATAAAATTTAAAATAACAAGTTAAGAAGTATATCATCAGGTGACATTTGGTTTGTTAGTTTTGGTTTGATTAGTTAGGTAGATTTAATTTTGTTTACACCGGAGTGGAGAGGAGCACACAAGTTGTGACTCGTGTCAGGAGGGTGAGAGCTGGCCACACCCACAGCTCATGGAGAGTCATACTCACTAGCTTTACCTGGAATCCGTCCTGCCGATTGGTTTACAACCAGGTACCAAGCTACTGCTAGGTGAATAGAGACGAACAGTCAAGGACTGTCGCCCAATCAATCCTCCCTGGCCAGGACTCAACCCCAGACCAAAAGGGTCAAATTTAGAGGAAAGAAAGACCAAACTAAACATTCTAAAACGATTACCTCTTTATAATGACCTCTTTTTCACGGTCTTTACTAATTTATTACTATGCTTCTTTTTCTGCCGTATTTATTAGCAATCTTTCTGGAAGTTGACATAGCTGCCACTAGGAGCCGGAGCCACACATTGTGCGGGGTGTGGTGCTCGCTGGGGAGAGTGCTTCATTCACTCTATTTTGAGCTGTGAAGGGATGTTTTGTATATCCCTTTTGAATATAAGTTTACTTGGAAGCGTGGAAGATCTCTCCTCGAGAGGGCAAGTGTTGCATAGTGTGTGGTGGCAGTGTTGAGGGGGAGGTGTTGCAAGGTAGCAACACTCGCCCGCACTCATCTGGCCGCTGAAGCGACCGCTTCAATCCTGGTTTGTTTTTACTGTTGGTGTTGAGAGCGCGGGTTGAGGGTGACGGCGGGCCGCTCACCAGCGCCAAGGGCCTCTCCACCTGGTTATTATTGCCCCTATTTATTAGTTGGTCGTAATACCCTGTTTGGTGGTGGGTTTGGCTGATAGTATCGGTGTTTCTCGAGGTTATGTAAACCTCCTGGCTTCTGGAGTCGTCCTCTGTGTCGGCTGAGTCCTGTCACTCTCGCTACGAGGACAACCTTCAGCGCCGTAGTCACCTGGTCACTGTTGGACTATAGAATGCTGTAGTCGCCTGGTCACTGTTGGACTATAGAACGCTGTAGTCGCCTGGGCACTGTTGGACTATAGAATGCTGTAGTCGCCTGGTCACTGTTGGACTATAGAATGTTGTAGTCGCCTGGGCACTGTTGGACAATAGAATGCTGTAGTCGCCTGGGCACTGTTGGACTATAGAACGCTGTAGTCACCTGGTCACTGTTGGACTATAGAATGCTGTAGTCGCCTGGGCACTGTTGGACTATAGAATGCTGTAGTCACCTGGTCACTGTTTGACTATAGAATGCTGTAGTCGCCTGGGCACTGTTGGACTATAGAATGCTGTAGTCACCTGGGCACTGTTGGACTATAGAATGCTGTAGTCACCTGGTCACTGTTGGACTATAGAATGCTGTAGTCACCTGGTCACTGTTGGACTATAGAATGCTGTAGTCACCTGGTCACTGTTGGACTATAGAATGCTGTAGTCACCTGGTCACTGTTGGACTATAGAATGCTGTAGTCACCTGGGCACTGTTGGACTATAGAATGCTGTAGTCACCTGGTCACTGTTGGACTATAGAATGCTGTAGTCACCTGGTCACTGTTGGACTATAGAATGCTGTAGTCGCCTGGGCACTGTTGGACTATAGAATGCTGTAGTCGCCTGGGCACTGTTGGACTATAGAATGCTGTAGTCACCTGGTCACTGTTGAACTATAGAATGCTGTAGTCGCCTGGGCACTGTTGGACTATAGAATGCTGTAGTCACCTGGTCACTGTTGGACTATAGAATGCTGTAGTCACCTGGTCACTGTTGAACTATAGAATGCTGTAGTCGCCTGGGCACTGTTGGACTATAGAATGCTGTAGTCACCTGGTCACTGTTGGACTATAGAATGCTGTAGTCACCTGGGCACTGTTGGACTATAGAATGTTGTAGTCGCCTAGGCACTGTTGGACTATAGAATGCTGTAGTCACCTGGTCACTGTTGGACTATAGAATGCTGTAGTCACCTGGTCACTGTTGGACTATAGAATGCTGTAGTCGCCTGGTCACTGTTGGACTATAGAATGTTGTAGTCACCTGGGCACTGTTGGACTATAGAATGCTGTAGTCACCTGGTCACTGTTGGACTATAGAATGCTGTAGTCACCTGGTCACTGTTGGACTATAGAATGTTGTAGTCGCCTGGGCACTGTTGGACTATAGAATGTTGTAGTCACCTGGGCACTGTTGGACTATAGAATGCTGTAGTCACCTGGGCACTGTTGAACTATAGAATGTTGTAGTCGCCTGGGCACTGTTGGACTATAGAATGCTGTAGTCACCTGGTCACTGTTGGACTATAGAATGTTGTAGTCGCCTGGGCACTGTTGGACTATAGAATGTTGTAGTCACCTGGGCACTGTTGGACTATAGAATGCTGTAGTCACCTGGGCACTGTTGGACTATAGAATGTTGTAGTCGCCTGGGCACTGTTGGACTATAGAATGTTGTAGTCACCTGGGCACTGTTGGACTATAGAATGCTGTAGTCACCTGGGCACTGTTGGACTATAGAATGCTGTAGTCACCTGGGCACTGTTGGACTATAGAATGTTGTAGTCGCCTGGGCACTGTTGGACTATAGAATGTTGTAGTCGCCTGGGCACTGTTGGACTATAGAATGTTGTAGTCGCCTGGGCACTGTTGGACTATAGAATGTTGTAGTCGCCTGGGCACTGTTGGACTATAGAATGTTGTAGTCGCCTGGGCACTGTTGGACTATAGAATGTTGTAGTCGCCTGGGCACTGTTGGACTATAGAATGTTGTAGTCGCCTGGGCACTGTTGGACTATAGAATGCTGTAGTCGCCTGGGCACTGTTGGACTATAGAATGTTGTAGTCGCCTGGGCACTGTTGGACTATAGAATGTTGTAGTCGCCTGGGCACTGTTGGACTATAGAATGCTGTAGTCACCTGGGCACTGTTGAACTATAGAATGTTGTAGTCACCTGGGCACTGTTGGACTATAGAATGCTGTAGTCACCTGGTCACTGTTGGACTATAGAATGTTGTAGTCACCTGGGCACTGTTGGACTATAGAATGTTGTAGTCGCCTGGGCACTGTTGGACTATAGAATGCTGTAGTCACCTGGTCACTGTTGGACTATAGAATGCTGTAGTCACCTGGGCACTGTTGGACTATAGAATGTTGTAGTCACCTGGGCACTGTTGGACTATAGAATGTTGTAGTCGCCTGGGCACTGTTGGACTATAGAATGTTGTAGTCGCCTGGGCACTGTTGGACTATAGAATGTTGTAGTCGCCTGGGCACTGTTGGACTATAGAATGTTGTAGTCGCCTGGGCACTGTTGGACTATAGAATGTTGTAGTC